GACTTGTAGTTTCACAACAGCTGGAGGGCCGCCAGTTTGATACCCCTGGTCTAAGGAGAAGCCGGATCTCTGCAATCACCCTTCATTAAAACCTTAAGGCTCCATTCACACTGAGATTAACTTTTTTCAGTTTTTTGCAAGTGGAGTTTTTGGGTTTTGGTTTTTTTTTTTTTTTTTTTTTTTTAGCAGATATTATAGGATTTTGTTTTTAATTTTGGCTTTTTTATATATATTTAATTTTGGCTTTTTTATATATATTTAATTTTGGCTTTTTTTTATATATTTAATTTTGGTTTTTTTTTTATATATTTAATTTTGGTTTTTTTTTATATATTTAATTTTGGCTTTTTTTTATATATTTAATTTTGGCTTTTTTTATATATTTAATTTTGGCTTTTTTTTATATATTTAATTTTGGCTTTTTTTATATATTTAATTTTGGCTTTTTTTATTATATATTTAATTTTGGCTTTTTTTTTTATATATTTAATTTTGGCTTTTTTTATATATTTAATTTTGGCTTTTTTTATTTATATAATTATATATATTTTATAATTATATATATATTTATATATAAATATATATAATTTTGGCTTTTTTTTTTATATATAATTTTGGCTTTTTTTATTTTATTCATATATATATATATATATATATATATATATATTATATATATATATATATTATATATATTATTTATTTTTTTTTTTTTTTTTCTTCAGGGGGCTTTGAGCATGTGTTTTTGTTTTGGTTTTCTTTTTTTTAGCAGATATTATAGGCGGTTTTTCAATTCTGGTGTTTTTTGCAGTGGCCAATAGAAATAGCTGTTATTTGAGCTGAAAAACGCTTGAAACAAGGATATTTTCCATTCAAGTCTATGGGGGCAAAACGCCCAGATCTGCGTGAAAAGTAGCGCAAGCACTTTTTTGAGCGACAGATGTTTTGCTATAGACGACGAACCGCTCCTCTGTGAACAAGGGAGGGGCTATAAAAACGAATTAGATTTTGCTTGTTGAGCGTTTCTGAGCTTCAGGCGTCGAAAAATGCCCCAGTGTGAATGGGGCCTAAATGTTACATCATGACTAGGTCATCGCTCCAAAACAGAAAAAAAAAAAATCCCACAAAGCCAATAATTTCAACAAGCAGACGTCCTTCATTCCTCCTCACCTGAAGTGTGACACTTGAGGAATGGACTGACTGCGGACTCGCTGATGCAAACATTTAGCCGATGGCTACAGGAAGGCAAAATGGGGTTTGGAAAATGAGTTCCGTTCCTGGCAGATCAGCGAGCGCTTGCGATCTGTACAGGTCATCGGACCTGAACCCAACATCCTGATTGGATGCTTTTCCAAGTAAGAATATCACCTGTAATGACTTGTCTATAGCCCTAGGCAGAAGTTTCCCTGCTGTTTTCAGAGGTAACCCTGTCGGGATACACCGGGGAGACCTCAGACCTTTCCATCATTTGTTTCAGGTGTGGACAGCAGGGTGCCAAATGTTATGTAGGGTCAATGTGCCCCACAGGAGTTTTTGGATTAGAATATGCAATTTTATATTTATTTATTAATATATATATATATATATATTATATATATGGGAGAAAAATAAACTGGTATGTTTCATATCGACAAAAGGGACTGGTCGAATCTCGATGGTTGAGAGATAGATAGATATATCTCAACCATTGAGATTCGACCAGTCCCTTTTGTCGATATGAAACATACATACCAGTTTATTTTTCTCCCTTTTTCTTTTTTTTTTTTTTTTTTGTCTTTCTCTCTGCTCCTCTTTCCTCTTGTCTAGTCTGGTTTTTTTTTAATGCTATTTGTGCTGATTTGTGATTCCTGTTTTTGGGTGCCGTACCAGCAACACTACATCCATATGCTGGACCCCTTTGAGAGCCCTGCGTGTTAAGTACCTACCTGTATTCAGAGAGGCTCCATCTCCTATTCTTCTCGCATTCTGTATGCTGATACAGTAACAATTTTCCCTTACAGTTTATTATGTTATTGGTCTGTAAATGTCTATCATTTCTGCAATTTATTGTGTTTTCTCCCTATACGGCACTTGTGTACGCAGTTTATTTTCATGTTTTCTCATCAGTGCCTATTCTGTATTATTCATTGAATCTTTTGCATGTTCTATTCCTGCTGGTCATTGCTTCTGTTTTCGACTGATTCTCTGCTGTTTCCTATTCTATAATAAAACTCTTTTTGTAAAAGATTATGCAATTTTATATACTGATTGACCCAGCTGAACCGCCTCCCGGCTGCCATGTAAGGAAATGATGGGATTGCTGATCTTTCTACTAAAGAGAAAAAAAAAAAAAAACACTCCTGACTTGGTTCTGTGTGCAATTTTGAGCTTTTAGCTGTTTTATATAATAACTTTTATTATAACAATTCTTGGTATATTTTTATATACGCATATCATATGTAATAGAATTCTATCCCATTGGAATCCATGAATTTTATCACCTTTTTTTATATAGGATACAATTCTTAGTATATTTTATATAAACGTATCATGTAATAGAATTCATAGGATACAATTCTTGGATTCCTATGGGATAGAATTCGATCACCTTTTTATGATACAATTCTTTATATATTTATATAAACGTGTCATATGTAATAGAATTCATAGGATACAATTCTTGGTATGTTTATATAAACGTATCATATGTAATAGAATTCATAGGATACAATTCTTAGTATATTTATATAAACGTATCATATGTAATAGAATTCATAGGATACAATTCTTGGTATGTTTATATAAATGTATCATATGTAATAGAATTCATAGGATACAATTCTTGGTATGTTTATATAAACGTATCATATGTAATAGAATTCATAGGATACAATTCTTAGTATATTTATATAAACGTATCATATGTAATAGAATTCATAGGATACAATTCTTGGTATGTTTATATAAATGTATCATATGTAATAGAATTCATAGGATACAATTCTTGGTATGTTTATATAAACGTATCATATGTAATAGAATTCATAGGATACAATTCTTTGTATATTTATATAAACGTATCATATGTAATAGAATTCATAGGATACAATTCTTGGATTCCAATGGGATTGAATTCGATCACCTTTTTTATACGATACGTTTATATAAATATACCAAGAATTGTATCCTATGAATTCTATTACATATACGTTTATATAAATATACCAAGAATTGTATCCTATGAATTCTATTACATATACGTTTATATAAATATACCAAGAATTGTATCCTATGAATTCTATTACATATGATACAATTCTTTATATATTTATATAAACGTATCATAAAAAGGTGATCGAATTCTATCCCATTGGAATCCAAAAATTGTAGCCTATGAATTCTATTACATGATACGTTTATATAAATATACCAAGAATTGTATCATGTAATAGAATTCATAGGCTACAATTTTTGGATATTTATATGGATATATATTTGGATTTTTTTTTTATGATACAATTCTTGGTATATTTATATAAACGTATCATATGTAATAGAATTCTATCCCATTGGAATCCAAGAATTGTATCCTATGAATTTTTATCACTTTTTTTTTTATATTTGATACAGTTCTTGGGATATAAGAATTCTATTAAAGCAGAGGAGGATAGACTGGTAAATGGGTCTATATGCCGGATGGTAACGAGAATAAGGAGCATTGAGTATTTTGTAGATTATTGGATCTAGACTTCTACTATACATTCAAACAGCATTTGGACTTGTGTGTGTTTCTTCCTATTCCCTCCCCCAACAAAGTGGTCAGTCACTCAAAAGCCATGATGGTGATCTGCTGTCTTCATGATCCATCTTCTAATGGACCTCTCTGACCATGTCCTCCCTTTTGTAGTATTGTATATTTGTAGTCTCTCTGGTTTAATAACTGCTGGTGTTTGTTTTAGAATTTTGACAAGCTGAATGTTCGGACAACGCACTACACGCCTATTCCATCCGGCTCCAATCCCTTGAAGAGAGACATTTCCGAGTATATTAAGTAAGTGTTGAGGTATGTGAGGGATTTACATGGTGTATGTGAAGGTGGTTTTTTTTTTTTTTTTTTTTTTTTTTTTAATATACTAATAATGGCGGCGATCAGCGACTTATGGCAGGACTGCGGCGGACATTCTGACATTGGGGGGTACTGACTTGGGGTCACTGACATCCCCAGTGACTCCAATACAGTGATCAGTGCAAAAAAAAAAAACAAAACCCTGACACTGTACTAATGGCACTGGGGAGGAAGGGGTTAAGTTTATTTTTCAGGGAAAGGGTTAACTGTGTGAGGGGAGTGTTTTACTAGGGGGCGGGGTTTGTACTGCATGGGAGACACACTGATTGGGGGAGAGAAACTCTTCTCTCCGGCTCAGCATGTCAGGAGCTGTCAGGGAACTGACAGAAAGCACAGCTACTGCAGCTGTGCTCTCTTGTCAGCGATTGCTGCCGATCGCCAGGACATAGCCGGTAACGACCGGCTGTGACCTGGCTACTGACATCCGCGGCTATAATCGGCGGGACAGGTAGGGCGGTGACGCACCCCGCGCGCACCCCCTACTTGTTTACAAAACACACGTTTTAAAACGTGCTTTTGCCCAGCCGTGCCGCCCTGCCGCCATATTTCTACAGTGGTTGGGCGGCATGTGGTTAAGGGAAGTGCGGGGGAGAGAACACTCAGGCCATCTTTTTAATCATTTTAAGAGATTTTAAAAATGAAGACTGCAAGTCCAGGAACTGTCAGACCTGATAGGATGGCCAGGTATGAGGGACTGTGATCAGGTACAGGCAGGTACCCTGCCCCAAGGCAATAGCAATAGACAATTTTTTTTTTTTTTTTTTTTTTTTTTTTTCTTTGGGGTGTGTCTTTCCTCGACTCGATCACTTGATATTTATCTTGGGTCCCATTTACTTTTCAGAACAGGATTCATAAACCTTGATAAACCAGCCAATCCATCGTCGCATGAAGTTGTCGCATGGATCCGCAGAATTTTACGCGTGGAGAAGACGGGTCACAGCGGAACGTTGGACCCGAAGGTGACGGGCTGTTTAATTGTATGCATCGATCGTGCGACTCGGCTTGTCAAATCGCAGCAGAGTGCAGGTGAGGGTTTTATATTTTATTTTATGAAGCTTGTCAACTAGTCAGATCTTGTTCCTGTGTTTTTAAAATTGGCTGTGTATAAGTGGGAGCTGCTGAAACCGAACAGAATCGGGAAGGGAGAATGTCACCAGCACACCGAGGATCACCAATACGGGGCCAAACGTTTTATTGAACAATCAGTTACAGCGTGGCAACGTTTCTGAGTCTCGCAGAACCCCTTCATCAGGCACGTCACATGCCTGATGAAGGGGTCCTGCGAGACTCCAAAACGTTGCCTTGCTGTGACAGGTGATTGTTGATTACAACTTTTGGACCCGTATTGGTGGTCTTCGGTGTGCCGGTGACATTTCTCCCTTGCCAATACGATTACAATCCCCTCTAGCAGTACACACCAAACAGAGCAGGTGCAGACTTGCCGCTGCTGCTCTAACTATGGCAGATGGATTGGGGACAGTAGAAGTTGACTATCAGGGAAGATGGGATTAAATGGCCTTTTTTACATTGCAGAGGAATAACCCCCCCTTAGCTTTCACAGTGAGTATAACAAGTAGGGATGCACCGAAATTTCAGTGGCCGAAACGTTTTGGCCGAAAACACCCCTTTTAGCCGAAATGAAAAAAAAAGCACCGATACAGGTGCCGAAAAACCCCAGTTGCTGCTTGGTAGTTCTCAGCCCTACCGGAGACCATCGAACGATCCCGGCACTTGGCATAGAGATGAATGAAGGAAAGATGGCCTCCACACATCTCTATGCCCTTGGAGGACTGGAACGATGTCCCTTTCTCCTTCTCTTCTTCTTTCTTTTTCTCTTGCTTTTTCTTTCTTCTTTTCCTTTTTTCTTTTGCTTTTTTTTCTTCTTTCCAATGCTTTACTTTGCAGAGAAGAGATATGGGGTCTTATTGACCCCATATCTCTCCATTTTATTATTTATTTCAGGTACTTCTATAGCGCTGTCAATTTACGCAGCGCTTTACATATATATTGAACATTCACATCAGTCCCTAACCCGCAAGGGGCGTACAATCTAAGGTCCCTAACTCACATTCATACATACACATACTAGGGACAATTTAGACAGGAGCCAATTAACCTACCAGCATGTCTTTGGAGTGTGGGAGGAAACCGGAGTACCCGGAGGAAACCCACACAGGCACAGGGAGAACATGTAAACTCCATGCAGGAGGCGCCATGGTCGGGAATCGAACCCATGACCCATTTACTGCAAGGCAGACATTCTAACCACTGTGCCGCCCAGTCCATAAAGAGGACCTGTCTCTAATTATTTCTATCACAAGGGATGCATGCATTCCTTGTGATAAGAATAAGTGGATTTTTTTTTTTTTTTTTTTAGGGACAGTGCAAAAAAAAACTTAAAAAAAAAAGTTTTAAAGTGCCCCTGTCCTCCCCCGTGCTCGCACACAGTGGTGAACGCATACGTAGGCCACGCCCACATATAAAAATATGGTGTTCAAACCACACACGTGAGATCGCCATGAACATCCCAGCATTAATTCTCACACTAGACCTCTGTAACTTTACACTGCTAACTTGCAGGAATTTTTAAAGTCTCGCCCATGGAGATTAAGTACCGCAGTTTCATGCCATTCCACGAGCGCGCGCAATTTTAAAGTGACATGTTTGGTATCTATTTACTCGCTAAAATGTCTTTTCGTATTTTACAAAAAAAATTGATATATATATGTGGAACTTGCCAGTCTTCAGTTTATTAATTCTCCCTTTCTGATTCCTAGGCAAGGAATATGTTGGTATTGTGCGACTTCACAATGCTCTGGAGAACGAGCAGCAGCTTTCACGGGTAAGGCGTTTGACCATTTACTACCCTTCTAGGGAACATTAATCCACCAGGGAAATATTCTCGTGTGTGCTGTATTTTCATGGCTGTTTGAGGGCATCTCCTCCCAGTACACAGGATGACACAGTTTATCCATTCTCTGAGTCTATGGCCGTCTCTGAAACACCCGGGGACCCTATTGGGGATCCGGTGTGCTCTTCACTGTGGACTTGCCGCAATGCGTTCTGCACTGTGACGGGGCCATGGTGAGCAGAAGAGCAGGAGACTATGGCCCATGGTCAAGAAGAGGTTTACTGTCTGATAAAGCTGGGGATGTATAATGATTATTAATGGAAAGTTTATGTTTAATTGGTAATCTTGTGTTTTTTGGTTTTTTTTTTTTTTTTTTTCTCCTACCACTTTTTTATCCAGGCTCTGGAGACTCTCACCGGTGCCCTTTTTCAGCGACCTCCGCTAATAGCTGCTGTGAAACGACAGCTGCGTGTAAGAACAATTTATGAAAGCAAACTCCTAGAATATGATCCCGAGCGTCGACTAGGTAAGTGATTGGGAAACACATGTAGGGATACTGGTCACAGCAACTGCTAGTGATTTAGATGAGGACTAAGTGTCAGGTGACTATCTGCTCCTGTCCTAATTTATCACGCTGGCTAGCTCTGGAATGTGCGCACATAAAGAAACTGACACGTTTGGTCTGTGAAAACTTCTTTAATTTATTGAAATGAAAAAGTGAGTTTATATATGCAAAATGATGCGAACATCACGTGATAACAGCATAAACATTATATTAGTCTTTGAAGAAGGTTGTTTTCATGTGAAGTGACCAGAGGATAGGCGTGATCTCGGCCAATGTCTTTTCTATAGAAAGAAAAACATTCCCTTGTCTTCAAGTCCACTCGAAGGGTGGACAACAAATATACACACTATATATATATATATATATATATATATATATATATATGTGTATATATATATATGTATATATATATATATATATATAAATCTAACAAAGTATTAGTGTGTGTATGTTATATTATAAATTTTTCTAAAAAATTTATTATATGTGTATTATACATTTTTCTAAATAAATTTATTATATATTAAATATTCAACAAGAAACCAAATAGGCATTTTCCCATATCCATCACACTAGTGTTACCTCGCCAGCACTCCTCCTGCAATTCTTCTGCCTCCATCACTGCTGGCATTAAATTCCTGAGTGTTGGCTGGTATCAGGGACCAGTGAAATCGTGGTCGATGGCATTCAGGTTTCTAGATCTTACCACTGTTAACCTCTTGCCCTCTGCTCTATAGAAGAAGTACCTCCTACAACACAGCAGGGCTGCGCAAAATCGTGTATGTACACATGATTTGATTTTCCGGCTGGGGGGCACGTGTGCCGCCCTACCCGCACTGCTGTTGGTGGCTACAGGTGTCAATCACTGTGTCCCGGCCAGCGATCGTCAAAATCTTGAAGGGAGAGATCCGTGTGTAAACAAAAGTCTCTCCTCTGAGCAAGGACAAGCTGTTCTGTGTGTTTCTGCACAGCATGGCTCCCTATTAAACACGTTACACAGTTAACCCTTTGATCGCCCCAGATGTTAACCACTTCCTGCCCTTCCTGCCCAATATAATTTTTTTTTTTTTTTTTTATTTCAGGTACTTGTATAGCGCCGTCAATTTACACAGCACTTTACATATATATTGTACATTCACATCATCCCTAACCCTCAAGGGGTGTACAATCTAAGGTCCCTAACTCACATTCATACACATACTAGGGACAATTTAGACAGGAGACAATTGACCTACCAGCATGTCTTTGGCGTGTGGGAGGAAACCCGCACAGGGAGAACATGCAAACTCCAGGCAGCTGGTGCCATGGTTGGGATTCGAACCAACGACCCGAGTACTGCCAGGTGGAAGTGCTAACCACTAAGCCACTGTGCTGCCCTTTTTATTATCCACAGTGACACCAATACAGTGATCAGTGGCAATTCCCATCCAGTGTCAGAATGGTCACTGCACCCCTGCTATCGCTGATCACCGCCATTACTAGTTTACAAAAAAAAAATATATCGCCATTTTTGTAGACACTATATAACTTTCACGTAACAAATTTAACGCGTATTGAAATTTTTTTTTTTCTAAAGCAAAGGCCTGTAGCAGAATACATTTTGGCCTAAATCTATGAAGGAATTTGATTCTTAAATTTTTTTTTTTTAATGTATAACAAAGTGGAAAGTGTGGGTGGTTTTTTTTTTTTTTTTTTTTTTTTTTTTTTTTTTTTTTTATTATTCATCATTATTAGGTTTTTGTTTTATGGTGCAAAAATAACCTGCAGAGGTGATCAAATACCACTGTAAGAGCTCTATTGGGCGAGGGGGAAGACATAAATTTCATATGTACAGCGTTGCATGACTGCGCAATTGTCAGTTAAAGTATCACAAAAATATGGTTTGGTCAGGAAGGGGTTAAATCCTCTGGAGGGCAAGTGGTTAAAGGCTCCCTCATACCTCGTTGGCATGCTTGAGTCAAGAGATCGCTGGCCATGTGCGAAACCTATTACTTTGCCCTAAATGGCGGAGGTGACTGGCTTTTTTATACACCTCTGGCCCATCATGGACTCGGTCAATCTGGCAAGGACAGTCAAAGTGCGTCAAGTCCTTGGTGCACAGTAGATGCCACTACTTTATAATTCGGGTGGGTGATTCTGAAATGGGTGGGTAATCCATGTAGGTTCTTCTACAATTTTTGGAAATGCATGTAAGCATTGGGCACATTAAGCCAAATGATGGATTTTAGATTTCATGAACTTGTGATGTTGACTATCATCTATCACCCTATAGCTGATGGCTTGGATTGCTCTGAATTCTGAGTTTTCCACTTGATGAAAAACTTTGCTCCTAAATTTTGTATTTTTTTTTTTTTTTTTCCCCCCCCCCCCCCCCCCCCCAAGGTATATTCTGGGTAAGCTGTGAAGCTGGGACGTACATCCGTACTCTCTGCGTCCACATGGGCTTGCTGCTCGGGGTTGGAGGACAGATGCAGGAACTGCGCAGAGTTCGCTCGGGAGTTCTGGGTGAAAAGGTAACTACCACATCGGAGTTGTTGACCCCAAACGCGTTGAGTTCAGCCACAGGCTGGGGGGGGGGGGGGGGGGGGGGGGGGGGGGGGGGGGGGGGGGTGGTTTGGGGGGGGGGTGGGGGGGGGGGGGGTTTTGGGTGGGGGGTGGGGTTTTTGGGGGGGGGGGGGGTTTGGGGTTGGGGGGGGGGGGGTTGGTTGGGGGGGGGGGGGTGGGGGGGGGGGGGGGGGGGGGGGGGGGGTTTGGGGGTTTGTGGGGGGGTGGGTGTGTTGGTGGGGGGGGGGGGGTAGGGTTTGGGGTGGGGTGTTGGGGGTTTGGGGGGGGTTGGTGGGTTGGGGGTTGGGGGGGGGGGTGGGTGGTTTTGGGGGGGGGGGGGGGGGTTGGTGGGGGGGTGGTTTGGGGTTTTGGGGGGGTGGGGGGGTTTGGTTTGTGGGGGGGGTGGGTTTTGGGGGGGGGGGTGGGTTTTTTGGGGGGGGGGGGGGGGTTGGGGGGGTTTGGTTTTGGGGGGGGGGGGGTGGGGTTGGGGGGTGGGTGGGGGGGGTTGGGGGGTTGGGGGGTTTTTTTTTTGGGGGGGGGGGGGTGTTTTTGTTGGGGGTGGTGGTGGGGGGGGGGGGGTTTGGTGTTTGTTGGGGGGTGGGGTTGGGGGGGGGGTGGGGGGGGGTGGGGGTGTTGTGGGTTTTGGGGGGGGGTGTGTTTTGTGGTGGGGGTTTTGGGGGGTTGGGGGGGTGGGGGGTTGGGTTGGGGTTGGGTTTTGGGGGGGGGGGGGGGGGGGGGGGGGTTGTGGTTTTGGGGGGGGGGGGGGTGGGGGGGTGGGGTGGGGGGTGGGGGGTTTGGGGGGGGTTGGGTTTGGGGGTGGGGGGGGGGGGGGGGGGGGGGGGGGGGGGGTTGGTTTTGGGGGGGGGGGGGTTGGGTTGGGTGGGTGGGTGGGGGGGGGTTGGTTTTGGTGGGGGGGGTTGGTTTGGGGGTGGATTGGGGGGGGTGGGGGGTTTTTGGTAAGTTGGATATTTGGTGTATAATATATGCTATATAGCTAAATTGTTTTGGACATTTTACGTGTTTAGATGTTCTATTCCAAAACCATATGGAGTTGCCCTCTGTGGCTACAGCTGCCGCCATCGTTTTGGCTTTCCACAAGATTTTTTGGGAGTGTCTGTGGGAATTTGGTGCCCATTCAGCCAAAAGAGAACAATGGTGAGGTCAGGTATTGATGTAGGATGAAAAATCACCTACCTAGTGAATGACCAAGACAGTAGTTTAAAGGTAATCTACTTAACGCATGATATACATTGGCATTTTAAAAGGATGCAGGCGAGACCACGATTTTTTTCAGCCAGTGGTTTGGGAAGCCCTCGTTGCGTCCTAAGGCCTACGCGTTTCAAGGGTTGAGCCCTCTTCCTCAGAGCCAGTGTGTGTAAATGGTTTCACGCCAACCTTTAAATCTTACTGAGCTACTTAGCCCAAGTATCCAATTCCCTCCCCCCCTCATACCGAGGGAACGGGAGCACAAAGTCGTGTGAGCCAAAGATCTGCGAACACTACAGTAATAGACTGGCTTGCAAGTATGAGATGGACACGCCAACAATATAATATAATGCCTTTTGCCACACATGTCCACCATAAAGTCACATGAAGTCTGATCTCTCCATTACCTCTTGCTAGTATCCTCATGTCCAAGTGTTTGTTTTTTGGTTTTTTTTGGGGGGGGTTGGGTTTGGTTATGTGGATTGGGGTGTTGTTGTGTTTTTTTTTGGGGGGGTTTTTTTTTTTTTTGAATTTTTGGTGGGGCTGTTTAGGGTGTTTTTGGGGGGGGGTCCCCCCCCGGGCAGGGGGTTCCCCCCTCCTGTAAGGATCTAGAGCACTCTCACTGACCTGAAATGACACCCAGGTGACTGATCCAAAATGGCGGTGTGTTCTCCTCTGGAGCTCATGCTGCTCACTATGGCTGGTGTTTGCGTTCCACCTGAACTTCCAGTTGGGATGACATCCCTTCCGGTTTGGCTCCTACTTCCGTTCCAGTTGCTCATTGCCTATTGCCAGTCTGTTGGCTGGGGCTATTTGCTGACGCGCATCAACGGCGGGACAGCCTATGTGGCCACTGATGTAGGATGAGAGACTCACAACTTTGGTATTTCGATTCATTCTAAATATTTCCAATACGGTTTGAGGTCAGGGCTCTGTGCAGGCCACTCAAGTTTCTCCACACCAAACTGGTCAAACCATGGGAGGTGGGTATTTACTAAAGCTGGAGAGTGCAAAATCTGATGCAGCTCTGCATAGAAACCAATCGGCTTCCAGGTTTTATTGTTGAAACTCAGTTGGACAAGATGACATTAGAAGCTGATTGGCTATTGAGTACAGTTGTGCTGAAACCGAAACGGGTCTTCCCCAGACTTTCCACAGAGCTGGATGCTCGCA